TGGGGGGGGGGGTGTATTTAAGTCGGGTGACGCTGCACTGCAGCTGCTCCCACGGGTCCACATGTGCCCAGACCAATTTTTCGATTTCCAATATGAATATGTACCAATAAAGAATTATTACTATTACTATTTTTATGATTAGGAAATATAATGTGTTTTGTACCAGCTCTCATTTGTTGTGCTTGCTTTTAGATTGAACTGCATCCGTATTTGACTCAACAAGCAATGGTTGATTATTGTAATAGCAAGGGTATCGTGGTAACAGCTTACAGTCCGCTAGGCTCACCAGACAGGCCTTGGTAAGTACAGTAGTGTTCAATTATGTGACTGTGTTGGTATCCACTGAAGCACCTTTGCTAAAGCTCCCTCTACACTATCAAATTTTCGTTGACAAAAACTGCTGTATGCCCATATATAGTCATGATGTGCCCTTATATAGTCATGATGTGTCTTTATATGGTCATGATGGGATGACCATATTTTGGCATGTCACTTGGTTTTTTGATAGTCTATTTAGGGCTTTACAATTATAGTATTTGTTGTATCATTCTTTACTCATTGACTTCAAAATTTCTTGTGATTACATTCATTATAACATTAATTATTTATAATAATAATAAATAGGAATTGTATTAGCTCTCATATTCATCGTAAAGAAAGGCACAAGGTGCTTGAGAAAATAAACAGTGGAAAAAGAAAAACTAAGCCAGTAAATAACCTTGGCAAAAGGTGCGGTACGTATTTCTGTATTATTATTAATATTATTATTATTGTTATTGTTAATATTATTATTATTTTTATTCTTATTATTATTATTATTATGTTACTGAAACCTACCTTAAGGGGAACTTAGACAATGGCGAAAGTAGAGAAAATTAAGGGGAAAATAACACAAAAGATATTCCCCTTAAGTCCAAGTTAGTATTATAATTATTATTATTATTATTATTATTATTATTATTATTATTATTATTATTATTATTATTATCATTATCATTATCATTAGTATTATTATTTATTATTATTATTATTATTATTATACATTAATAGACTAAAATACAACATTTATTTTATTCTTTTTCTCAATTATATCAGGGTAAGAGAAACTGATCCATCTTTGATGGATGATCCAATGGTTCTGGAAATTGCAAATCGCTACAAAAAGAGTCCTGCCCAAATTCTCATCCGTTTTTCAATCGAACGTGGCATCGTCGTTATACCAAAGAGCGTCACTCCAGCACGAATCCAGGCTAATTTTGAAGTATGACAACAATTGACTCATTGTATGGGATAGTAGAACCCTATTAAATGGACATTTTTGGGACCAAAAATTTTCCTCCTTAATAGGGTTGTCCGAATGGAGGTTTTTTACTGTATGTAACATGCCCCCTGACCAGTCTGCCATAACTTATTTTCAAAGAAGCATACATGTATTTTCAAGAAAATTTACTTTGGTTTGCAGCTACATAAATTAAATTTTTAATTTAATGCTGACAAAATTGACGTTTATATTAATTATAATAATGTAGATACCACTTAAATTCTGAATGGCAGTTACTGTAAACTTTCAGGGTCACAACTGTTACATCCC